ACTTTTTTAAATGGGCTAACAGGTGTCTTTAAAGATTATTCTCAAGAAATAGCCTATGGAAGCATTGTGTTTTTGGACAACACATTCTTCCTCTTGGAAATTCATAAACCAAAGCAATGTTCCAAGGAAGGATTTCCTTGTGTTGCTCTCAGAGTTGGAAATTCACTTTAGATATTCTATCTCTGTCCTTGCCCCCAAACATGCCCATGTACATGGCATGCGTGTGCGAGCGCACACACACGTTCCTCCAGAATACGGTAATAGAGACATATACAATTTATTCAAGCCTTTAAGATATTTATACTTCGGGATTAGATTTTGTTTGGACACACTGGTCTATTTTGAAAAGCAGAAAATGGCAGCCAACTCTATTTTTTAAAAAAGCAGTTATGCTATTTAACTCCGTAAGGATAATTTTAATCCCAGTGGAAAATAAAATTGTGGCTCAAATTTAACCATGAAATGAAAGTTGAGCCCATCTCATGATCATATACACTTTCAAAACATGAAAAATTGAAAAGCAGTCTTAAAGTACAAAAAAAAAAAAAATTCAAACCTTTGTATGTAGCTGAGAATTAACGGCAGGGAAAGTATGTTTTGTGATACACAGGACTTTACCATTGTTACGTTAGTTCTTATAAGGTATCAAAGATCCACATTCAAGCCTCTGATCTCTAAGATATATATTCTTAGATGCTGTGGAGGCTAAATAAATTTTGAACAGTCATCTTTGAGTGCAAAGAAGGAACATATGGGGCATGGAGGACTTGGCCCACTATTTCCCTGTTCGCTACAAATGCTCTATGGTTCTTGTGGTGCTGACAGTCTGCTTTCCAGTGCCAGGCAGTCACTCCGGGTAAGCAGGCTCTACTACATGTCCTAGGTTCAACCTTCTGAGGTCTTTAACCATGTTAAAAAGAAAGTAAAAGCACAGAGAGAAGCAATAAAGACTAACTCACTTTTCTATCTATTCCTATCTTTATGTATGCAGTATATTGAAATCGATAGTTATTTTTGTAACAAACTGAGTGACATGAATTTTCATTGCATTACTAAATCTCTCTGTTGCCCCTCGCTCATTTTAAGAAATACTATTAAATATATATTCTATTAGGAAATACAGACATATCTCTCATATACTACAGTTTAGGACAGAGGTGACAAACCTATGGCATGTGTGCCACAACAGGCATTCAGAGCCCTCGCAGCTGGCACATGGGTTAAGTCACCCCAGCATCGCCCCAGTAGCTGGGCATTCAGGTTTAATTGCAGTGTTGACATTTTTCAATAAATGACTGGGCTTTGGGCACTTGGTCTCTAAAAGGTGCACTATCTCTGATCTAGACTATTATGCTGAAGCAAGAAATGGAGGAAGTGTGTCAGAATTGTTTTCCTAATATTATTTAAATTTCATAGTGTACAGATTACTTCCTTACATTTTGAAGAAGTGTTTTGCTTTGTTTGTTTTTCTTTGTTTGTTTTTGTGATACTAGAGATTGAACCTAGGGAGTGCTAAACTACATCTTCAACTTTTTCAAATTTTTTAAATTTTGAGACAGAATCTCACTAAGTTGTCCAGGCTATCCTCTAATTTGTGGTCTTCCTGCCCGTACCTCCAGAGTAACTGGGATTATAGGCATGCAGCACCATACCAAGCTGAAGTTGATATGCTTTTTGTAGCTATTTTGAATCACAACAATTTTGTTGAGCCTCAGTTGCATTTACTTCTGTGAAATTTAGATCATTATATGGTTTGTTATAGGGATATTTTCAGCAACTCAAAAATATGTGATAATCTACTTCTAAGTATACTGTGAGATATTAGCTTTAATCGAGAAGGGTTTTTTAGGCTCTGGGGAGATAGCTCAGTAGGATAAGCACTTGCCTGGCAAGCTCAAGGTCCTGAGTTCAATCCCCAGCACCACAAAAAAAAAAAAAAAAAAAAAAAAGAGAGAGAGAGAGAGAGCGAGAGAAAGAAAAAAAAAAAGGAAAGTTACTTTTATTTTTATTGTTTCATCTTTTTGTCCAAGACAGTAGAACTTAGCCATCATCCAAAATATATGGAATAATTTATACATTAAAGACATTTAGGCAACTTTCGGAAAACAATTCAGACACAATTTACATCTTTTTCTATTTCTGCATAATGGTCTAGACTGTACTATGCAATAAATATTTATGTATTTCCTAGTCGACTGTTTACCTGATAGTACTTCAGGAAACCAGTCTTCTGTAAAAGGGTTTTTAGTACTCGTTCCACTACTCTGAAAAATCTTGATTTATTCTCAACTTCTCACTTTTCATGCCTATGATACATTAGATAGATATTTCATTTATTCACAAGAACCAGGGGCCTATTGGGCTATGAGACTTTAAAGCATCAGAAGAGCAAATAAAATGCGTTATTTCCCTAGAGAGGAAAAATCACCTTGATTATTACAATTCTGGTAGATGGGAATGATGAGGGGTTGCTTCAGAAGACTGAAATAGAAAATGGGGTGTAATATGGAGGTGCTTAGTATAAACACTTCTCCTAGCTCATTTTAGTATTACTTACATATAACAAGTCCTTCAGTTTCCTGAAAACTGTTGCATGATAAGGAGAGAAGCTAGGCTCAAACTAATTTTTATATGAGATTCCAGTTTAGAAAATGAAATAAACTTTTAAAAGTATGTTTTGCATAAACTATTTCCACTATTAATTTTTCTGGCTGTTTATTGTTAATGTGTTCTAGTGGCTCACAGTTAGGTGAGTCATTGATTTGTTCCAAATCCAAACATGTTGGCATCATATTTTGGGGGCAAATACTATTTCTCAGGCAGATATTTCCAGGGACTTTTTTTGACAATTTCATCTTTGATGTGTGCATCCTATAATGGGATGCTACACCATCTACATAGACAGCTAATTCCTAAAGCTATCAACCTGATGTTTCTGAAAGATAAGCCTTTCTATCTACAGATAAAAATGTAATGCTTATGATCCTCCCTTCAAATAATCATCATGAAATTACCATTATGTTTTAACATTTCACACTCCCTGAGTAACATGTATTTTTTTTTCTTTTCTCGCACCATTTTTCTTACACTCTCAGGTTGCTGAATAGAAATGAGACAAGTGGACTGCCTCGAATTCATTTTCTCTGCCCAGTTATTTTTAAAACATTGTATTACTTCCTTTTAGTGTTCTAGAAGCAATAAACTCTTTACAAACATCACATGTAAAACAAGAAAGCATGTATATACAACCCTTTCCATGTTAAAACCATTTCACATTAACTAACTCTTTTCTCTACCTTAATGGGAGGTAGTTGGTAAGTATCAACCTCCCTTTATGGCCAAGGGAACTGAGGTAATATTTAGATGTCAATGAGGAATCCATTCCAAAAATGAAAGCTTTGCTTGGTATTGGGAGAAACTTGTTTTTACATTTGTGCATAATGTTACTCTTCAACTTAGCAGACAAGTGTTAAAATGCATAATTAATTAGGAACTGTAATTTCAAATATACCAGCAACATAGTCTGGATTAATTAACAGGACTTATTGCGTTAATCCTTTGGGCTAGTTTTTCATCTCATAGAAAGGCCATATATGGTACAACATCAGGTAAACATATGTATGTATTGTGTGTGTATATATATATATGTATATTTTATATATATATATATATGAATAATGTATATTGGTCTTTTTGAACTTGATACTCAGGGGAACAAAGTTTTCAAACACATTTTTGGAATTTTATATTGTATATCCCAAATGGTATAATCATATCCCTAATTTCATAGAAACTACAATAGACACTTTCTGTAAATTACTGATTTTCTTATAGTGAAAGTATAAGTGAGACTTTCTGAAAAATGAAAGGAAATGTCTAATTGCCCATCTTGCCACCAATTTTTCTGAAAACTCAGCTAGATATTTATATAGCAGTTCTTTTTTTTTTTTTAATAGGAATGAATGGATATAATCTGTCTTCCTTTGTCCTGGCCAGTTGCTGACTCTGAGTTCCTCTGTGGCACATTTTACACTAAAGCCTATCTGTAGATGACTCTCCTTTTGCAAAGGCAAAGCAGAAATTTATCAACCCCATTCTCTAAAGAATCACATTGGCATCATTCACAGAACTACAGTGTTCTCTGGAGCATAATATAGTTGTGTTTTCACCCCTCCCATTATAAATACCTATGATACATGCATGCAGAATGAAAAAGAACCATTGGCCAATGTCAGTATTTCCAGCTTCACCCAACACTAAATAGCAACCACTGCCAGTAGTCATTTTTGCTTATACAAGACACACATACACAGTCAATTTGGGGGGAGCAGGTTGTTGCTTCTATAAACTGCACAGTTTGTTTGAGTGCAGCTGCTTGATGTTAAGGTTTCTAAGCTGTAATTATAGCTTAACTACTTTGTCATTCAAATCTAAAATCATTTTTAAAAAACACTTAATTTTCTACCCGTGTGACTATTCAGTAGTCACAGAGACTTCAGGCTGCAAACATGTGTGGAATGTGCCCTTCACCCAAATGGAATCTGTGTCTGATGTGTGTGACATTTGTCCATCTGATTTTCATTTAAATTGGAAAATTTAAAAAGGTGTTCCCATCCATGTGATAGAGTTGTTTGTGTGTGTTTGTCACTACCTTTTCCCTTCCCTGTGGGAAAAAAATTGAGATTAGAATATAACATTTTAAACTTTTTGGTGGCTTGCAAACCAGGGGTCTGATCAAGCCAATATTTTGCGGAATGATAGATAAATAGCACCAGTGATTGAAAAGAAAATCTCAATTTTGGCAGCGTGGGGCTGCAAGACCTTGTCCTCCTTCCCAACCCTTTAAAAATCCCCTCCCAGGGACTCTTTCCCAACCATCCTTCAAAGATAATGGTATCTTTGAAGTGACTATTTCGTAGATGTGGTTCTGGCTAACACCCACCAGAGGATGGTCTTCAACATGCTCTCCAGGGTGCACTTACATTGTTGATGCTTGACAGGGTAGCAAGTGTGCAGAGTGAACCTGGCCAGCAGAATCTCCTCACTCAGCAGCCACTGGGGAGGAAGAGGGGCCTGAGGCAGGTAAGCAGGCTCTGAAAGGGTGGGAGAATCATTGTGTGAAATGGAAACTCTATATTTGATCTTCAATGCTTACATTTATTAAAATTACTATATTCCACATTTCCCTTGCCTGAAGTAGGCAATTCAGAGCAACTGAAAGGCATAGTAATTGCTTGGGCAAGCAGAGCATTTTGAGCTTGTATCTCAGATCTGCATCTTTGTATCTGCAAAGATGAATACTTAAGAAAGTAAGAATAAGCAAGCTTGTTCTCTATCTAAAAACCACTTTTCCCAGGCAAACACACCAACAATGAAAGATCCATTGTCTCAGTTACTCTTCTCTCATTGCTGAGACAAATACTTGACACTGAAAATGAAGGAAGGAAAGGTTTATTCAGCTCACAGTTACTGGAGGTTTCAGCCCATTCTTGGCTGGCTCCAAGGCACAGTGGCACAGGGCATAGAACATCCAGTTCATGGCAGTGGAACAACCATGGCAATAGAGAGAGAGTCTGTCTCTCTGTCTCTCTTATATTGCATTCAGGCTTTCTGCCCCATGCTGGGGGAAGTACACACACCCAGTACTAAATCCCATAATCCCAGCCTTGGGTCACCTATAATCCCAGTGGATCATGAGTTAATCACAAACTCTAGATGTCCGCACCCCATGACTACATGAGGCTTTGAGAGGATAGCTAGACACAAACCATAACACCTGTCATACAATTGATTTGAGACCTGTTTCTGTAGAGAGGCAAAAAAACAAAGTTTTCTCCCATTTTAGGATCAGTGACTTAATCTACAATTGAAATTGAAATAAGATCATCTTTACAATTGCCCTAGGTGGGATGCTGGTACATTACACTAAGTGATGCTCTCTACTGTAGCTCCGCTGAGAACTGTCCAGCACTGATTTGGATACCAGATGCTTTGCCACCATCTGAGGTTATTTTTATAAACTTGCACTTGGAAAGTCATCTTAAGTTGAACTACAACTTTTAGATGGACAAATGACTCTTTAACTATCACTTACTGATAGTTATCAGCTCTATACCCACTGAAATTCTCAAATTTATAATTTTAAATTGTTAATATTATTAGGTTCTATAAAGGAATAATAATTCAGGGATGAGGTGATGAACAGGATCTTGCTAGAAGAATGCACTTATAGTTAAATATGCAGAAAGAACTTGATCAGCTCTAACAGTAAGGAGAAATCTGAAGTCTGGAAACTTGAAAAACTACAAGCTTACAGTCAGAATCCTGGGGGCATGGCGTGTTCTCCTAGGTAGGAGGACTCAGTTGTCAATTTTATTCTCCCTCCTCTTTAGCTAAGACGCCCTCTGTTATCACGCCAAAAGACTCAGACTGAGCCAAGAAACCGCCATGGGGCTCGGCTGTCAACTACCCGCAGGAGCATCCAACCTAAAACAAAGCCATCCGGTGAGGCCTCCTGTGTCCCTTATGACTGTGCCATTGACAAAGATGCTATGCAGCTCAGCCCAGGTCCATAGAACCTGAGCTGATGCAGACAAGCACATCCTTGGAGGGACTGTAGGCTAAGGGAAGAAGTTTCCCAAAAGATTTCACTACCTTTTTTTCTTCTCACCTTTCCCAATTCCGGTCCCTACCCCCATGAACCTAGGGAAATGGAAGAGCCCAAGGTAAACAGTGTACTTTGTGAAATTTGGGCACAGAAGGTTGTGATGTCATTTATTTATTTATTTATTTTTTTTTTACTGAAACCAGGCACTGACATTTTTATATGGATTACTGAAGATACAGGTATAATGCATAACAGTCTGAGACTTTTAAGCCCTATTGGCAGTTGTTATGGGGGATGATCAAATTTACTTCATGTTCTTTACACTCTTGTTTTAGGCCATCACATAAAAAATATTTTTCTATCATCTTTATTGCAATGTCTTTATGAGGATAAGCCAGGAGACACTGGTTAATTCTATTAAAAGCCACTTTCTTTGATATGTATTGACTGTTTACTGAATCACCTCTGATTTCTAGTGGATCAGAAACGATCTGTGACCTTCATTGAGGCTCAGTCAGAGCCAACAGCTGCCCCAACAGACACGCTTCCGGCCACGGGCCAACCACAGGGCTGCAGCCCAGCTCTGACTAGGCAGCCAGAAGCAATGGACAAGCCGGTCCTCACATCTTCCCCTGCCATAGTGGTTGCGGATCTGCACAGCCTGTCTCCTAAGCAGGTAAGGACACTGGAGAGATAGGCAAGACCTGCTTGCTGCATCCTTATTTCTAGGGACCACTTGAATATGCAGATTTATTCCATATGATTAAGTGTGGGTTTGCAATACTTTATTATCCAGACACTGGTTTTTCCATCATGAAAATCTATTTGAAACATACAGCAGGAGCAAGATGCCAGAACTTTGGGTGCCTACGGCAGAAAGATCACTAAGAAAAAAGGGAGAGAAGGGGGTACAAAAGAAGTCTTTGTATTTTTCTGTTGTAAAAAAACTCAGAAGAAAATATTTGCAGCTGAAATATCCATTGAAAATGGGTATGCAGGGCTGGGGAGATAGCTTGGCGGTCTAAGCACCCGACTGGCAAACTCAAGGACCGAAGTCTGATCCCTGGTACCACATGCACACCATCCCAGAGCACTGTGCCAGCCACCAAAGCCAGGAGTGGTGGCACACAACTGTAATCCCAGGGCTGGGAAGGCTGAGACAAGAGGATCATGATGAATCCAAGCTGTGTAGTAAGACCCTGTAACAAACAAACAAACATATAAACAGATTTTTAAAAAACATTTATTTATATTATTTAATGTGTGTGTGTGTGTGTCCGTGGCCAGCTCAGCCCACCTGGGGGTGGGGCTGGCTGGCATGTGGTGCTGGGGGATCGAACTGTGGTCCCTGGGCTTTGCCAAGCTTGTTCCAAGTAGGTGCTTTAGACCACTGAGCCATCTCGCCAGCCCCATAAACAGATATTTTTTTTAAAAAAGGAAATAGATACATAATATGTAGTGGAGAGATAGTTAATTTTAAAATACAGAGTTACTAGTCAAGAGTTGTGGCACATGCCCAAATCCCAGTTACTTAGGAGAATGAGGCAGGATTGCACATTTGAGGCTAGCCTGAGCAACCTAGTGAGAATTTTTTTCAAAACACAATACAAAACAAAGTAATAATAACAACAATAATAATGATAAAGAGTGGTTGATGTAGTTCAGCATTCCTTAGATTTAATCCCCAGTGGCACAAAATAACTAAATAAGTAATCTATTCAGATGAACTCTTACAGAACCTTCTGTACTGACAGGAACTTTTGTTTTGATCTTTTCCCTCATGTTTTCATGTATTTGTTTTGATTCTTCTCACTTTAATTTTTATAAGTGAATTCCTAACAGCACCAAATTCTTTTCATATGAAGAACACTAAAGGTTATTAGTATTAGGTCCATTTGTATAGGCTTTAATTTCTAAAATCACTTTAACATTTATAATTATCCCATTTGTTTCTTACAATCTATGAGGTAAGCAGGATCAAAAATATTAATGTTTAAAAACAGGATTAAGCTAGCTGTGGTGGCACACAACTATACCACAACTGTAATCCAAGCTACTTAAGAAGCCAAAGCAGGTGGATTACAAGTTCAAGGCTATCCTGGGCAACTCA